TTAAATACAATTCTATCCATACCAAACGAAATTCATATCATTTAAATTTGGACATTTCATGCCAAAATAAAATCGCCCACATTTTATTAATCATAATACTCAACATTATTTTATTCTAAAATTTAGTGTCCTATAATATTAACTAAAATATTTTTTAAAATTAACAACCTAATTTTATTATATGCAAATATATGATATTTTTAACAAACAAAATTTTATACTCTAACAGCTTACGCAACACGAATTTCTACTTACGCTGCGTAGTATAAGAGGCAAAACGCGGCGAGTTACGTTATAAACATTTTAAAACACTAAAGGAATATAATTTCAATATAAATGGCCGTTAAGGCGAGATTATATCATTTATTGTGAAATCCTGTGCGCCAAGGGCTAAAATTTTAAATATTTATTTAATGAAAGTTAAAATGTTAAAATTTTTTAAAGTTAAAAAGTAATAATTTTAAATATTTATTTTAAAAGATAAAAAATTTAGAAATAAAATTATGTTTCTAAATATTTTATATTTTAATGTTATCACATATTTAGATTAAAATTAAGTTAATATTTATTTTTTAACTTTAAAAATAAATTTCATTATGTTTTTGCATAAATGTAAATTATGAAATAATTATCTTATTAGATAATTTTACTAAAGATATTTAATATTTTAATTATAAGTACTTAAAAATAATTTCTTTTTAAAAAAAGTATTGTTGTTTACATAATTATATCAAAATACAAATTGATATGGAGTCTTAAATTGAAAAGTAGAATGTAAAAGTAGGCCTTTTATTGAGAATAACTTAAATTTGAAACCTTCAAATTAAAAAGTTACAAATTTAGGCCTTATTGTGACACAATAACAAAAAGTCAAGCCCTACAATGAAAATTTCCCCCATGCCACGTGGATCGTTTACGCGTGATTTGGTTGAGAAATAGTGAAAGTTAAAATATATTGATAAAATTTGGAGTACTCATGTATGATCATTCAATGAGATGAAGTGTGTCTTTTAATGAGATGAAGTGTATTAGTAGTTTTTTTCATTAGTTTGTTGAATTCGTGACCAATTTGCGATTAAACTTAATTAAACACATTTTAAATTTCATAGAACCTAATGTGAGAGTGATAATGAGTCATATAAACATCATTTGAGACCAAAATTCGGCGTTTTTTTATGTTCTTCGGAGTTGGTACTAAAGACCCGATATCTGGTACTAAAATACCAAAAGCTGATACTATCTTACTCTAGGTCTGGTACCAATTTTTTGCAAATGTTGACCAAAATTGAAATAATCCATTTTCGTTGACCAAAAGTAGGTATTAATTGATTAAAAACAGGTACTACGTAGAAGAAGAAGGGGTACTATTTCTGTCAAGACTGGTACTATTTTAGTAATCGTGATTTTTTTAATTTTCCATGTCTACCATGCCCGTGGATTGTTCACGAGTGATTTGGTTGAGAAATAGTGGAAGTTAAAATATATAGGTAGAATTTGGAGTAATCATGTATGATCATTCAATGAGATGAAGTGTGTCCTTTAATGAGATGAAGTGTATTAGTAGTGTTTTTTCATTAGTGTGTTGAGTTCGTGAACAATTTGCGATCAAACTTAATTAAACACATTTTAAATCTCATAGAAACTGATGTGGGAGTGCTAATGGATCATATAAACATCATTTGAGACTGAAATTCGGTGTTTTAATGTGTTCATTACAAGTGATACTGAATACCCAATATCAGGTACTACAACAATATAAACCTGGTACTATCTTACTCTATGTCTGGTACTAATTTTTGTAAATGTTGACCAAAACTGAAATAATCCATTTCCGTTCACAAAAGTAGGTACTAATCGATCAAAAAGAGGTACCACGTAGAAGAAGATGCGGTACTATTATGGCTAAAACAAGTACTATTTTAAGAATCTTGATTTCTCTAATCCTTCATGTCTACCATGACACGTGGATCGTTCACGCATGATTTTGGATAAAAAATAATGGAAGTTAAAACATATAGGTAGAATTTGTAGTAGTCATGTATGATGATTCTATGAGATGAAGTGTATCATTCAATGAAATGAAGTGTATTAATAGTGTCTTCTCATTAGTGTGTCGAGTTCATGACCAATTTGCTATTAAACTCAATTAAAAACATTTTAAATCTCATAGAAACTAATGTGAGAGTGATTATGGGTCATATAAACATCGTTTGAGAACGAAAATCGGTATTTTTTTTATCTTCATCGGAGTTGGTACAAAAGACCCGACTAAAACACCCAAAGTTAGTACTATCTTACTCTAGGTATGGTACCAATTTTTGCAAATGTTGACCAATATTGAAGTAATTCATTTTCGTTGAACAAAAGTAGGTACTAACTGATTAAAAACAGGTACTACGCAGAAGAAAAAGGGGTACTATTTCTGTAAAAACTGGTACCGTTTTAGTAATCATTATTTCTTTAATCCTCCATGTCTACCATGCCCGTGGATCGTTCACGCGTGATTTGGTTGAGAAATAGTAGAAGTTTAAACATATAGGTAGAATTTGGAGTAGTCATGTATGATCATTCAATGAGATGAAGTGTGTCTTCTAATGAGATGAAGTGTATTAGTACTATTTTTTCATTAATGTGTTGAGTTCATGACCAACTTGCGATTAAAATTAATTAAGCACATTTTAAATCTCATAGAAACTAATGTGAGAGTGATAATGGGTCATATAAATATCATTTGAGATCGAAATTCGGTGTTTTTTTATGTTCGTCAGAGTTGGTATTAAAGACCCGATATCTGGTACTAAGAGATTAAAACGGTGGTACTATCTTACTCTAGGTCTGCTACTAATTTTTTGCAAATGATGACCAAAATTGAAGTAATCTATTTTCGCTTACCAAAAGTTGGTACTAATTGATTAAAAACAGGTATTACGCAGAAGAAGAAGCGGTACTATTTTTGTCAAAACTGGTACCGTTTTAGTAATCGTGATTTCTTTAATCCTCCATGTCTACCATGTCACGTTGATGTGTGATTTGATTGATAAATAGTGAAAATTAAAACATATGGGTAGAATTTGGAGTAGTCATGTATGATGATTCAATGAGATGAAGTGTGTCTTTTAATGAGATGAAGTGTATTAGTAGTGTTTTTTCATTAATGTGTTGAATTCGTGACCAATTTACGATTAAAATTAATTAAACACATTGTAAATCTCATAGAAACTAATGTGAGAGTGATAATGGATCATATAAGCATCATTTGAGACTGAAATTTGGTGTTTTTTTTATGTTCGTCGGAGTTTGTACTAAAGACCCAATATCTAGTACTAAAACACCAAAATCTGGTACTATCTAACTCTAGGTTGGGTACCAAATTTTGCAAATATTGACCAAAATTGAAGTAATCCATTTTCAATGACCAAAAGTAGGTACTAATTTATTAAAAACAGGTACTACGCAGAAGAATAAACGGTACTATTTATGTCAAAACTGGTATCGTTTTAGTAATCATGATTTTTTTAATCATCTATGTCTACCATGCCACGTGGATCGTTCACGTGTGATTTGGTTGAGAAATAGTGGAAGTTCAAGCATATAAGTAGAATTTAGAGTAGTCATGTATGGTTATTCAATGAGATGAAGTGTGTCTTTTAATTAGAAGAAGTGTATTAGTAGTGTTTTTTCATTTTTTTTTATCATTAGTAGTGTTTTTTCATTAGCGTGTTGAATTCGTGACCAATTTGTGACTAAACTTAATTAAACACATTTTAAATCTCATAGAAACTAATGTGAGAATGATAATTGGTCATATTAACATCATTTGAGACCGAAATCCAGTGTTTTTTTATGTTCGTCAGAGTTGGTATTGAAGACCCGATATGTGGTACTAGAACACCATAATTGCGGTATTATCTTACCCTAGGTCTAGTACTAATTTTGAAAATTGACCAAAATTGAAGTAATCCATTTTCGTTGACCAAAAGTAGGTATTAACTGAATAAAAACAGGTACTACGCAGAAGAAGAAACGGTACTATTTTTGTCAAAACTGGTACCGTTTTAGTAGTCGTGATTTCTTTAATCCTCCATGTCTATCATGTCACGTGGATCGTTGACGCGTGATTTGGTTGATAAATAGTGGAAGTTAAAACATATTGGTAGAAGTTAGAGTAGTCAGGTATGATCATTCAATGAGACGAAGTGTGTCATTCAATGATATGAAGTGTAATAGTAGTGTTTTTTCATGTGTGTGTTGAGTTCATGACCAATTTGCGATTAAATTTAATTAAACACATTATAAATCTCATAGAAACTAATGTGAAAGTGATTATTGGTCATGTAAACATCATTTGAGACCGAAATTCGTTGTTTTTTTTTTTTATGTTCGTCGGAGTTGGTACTGAAGAATCGATATCTAATACTAGAATACCATAATTGCGGTATTATCTTACTCTAGGTCTAGTACTAATATTGAAAATGTTGACCAAATTTAAAGTAATCAATTTTTTGTTCTTTCTACAAAGTAGGTACTAATTGATCAATAAGTAGTACTAATGTGCTAGAGTCCAAATGTTCAGTCACAAAACTGGCATTCACATGCCTAACAAATGATCAAGCTATGTTTTGAAAAAACATGCAAAACGCACTATGAAATTATACATGGACAAGGCATTTGTTTGAGGTATTCAGACAGAATCAGATCCTTTTCAATACGATTTTAAATATGCTTCTGAAATTCAATTTGCATAGTAATACGATTCCAAAGAGGAAACACAACCAATAAAAACATCAAAAAACAAATTTAGCACCAACATACTCAAACAAAAATTAAATAAAACTGAATACTCAATAAGTAGACAAAGTACAAATCTCCATTCAAATTCCAACTGCCCCATCCTAAACCCACTCCAAAAAACAACACTGATGCTCAATAAGACATTATAAACCAAATCAGACCAAAACCATTTAAGAAAATACCAATTATCCCAAATTTTAATGCATGCATTAATCAAACACCGGTGGATCCAAATCCGGCAGACCCTCTTTCGGTAGAATCAAGATCATCAACCTCACTGACCTCATCACCAAGTTTGTTAGTCTTATATAATAGATGGAGGCATAAGATAGTGTTATAATAGATGGAGGCATAACAAATTCAACATATGCATATCCCTTGGGCTGTCCATACTCCACATTGCCGACAAAAACTGATCGGGAATCCACTTCTTTTCTATTTGCCTGATTAGATGCAGATCCCCTTGAACGGAACCCATCTCCTGCTCGACTTTCGCCTGCATTTTGCGGAGAGCGGCGGCCTCGTCCTCCATCTCCTTCAGCCTCTTCTTCATATCGTCCAGCTCGGCAGCTCCTCCCTCGGCTCCCGCCTCCGCTGCCGCCATCACCATCAAACTCTCTCGTTCTCAGGTCGTCCTTTTCGAAAATCCCATAAACTTAACCCACAAATTTGTTCCAATATGAGTTCTTAGCACTTTTTATTTTTTCTGACAAAAATCCAAGAAAATTTCATTCCTTTTGCCCATTTCAAAGAGTGAAAAAAAATATCAGGAACTCCTTGTTGATTTCAGCCGAAAATAGTAAGAGGAATCACAATCAAACAAAAATAAAAAATTATAAGTGATTGAAAACAAGAATCATGTACAGGTTCTTTATGAATTTAAATCCGTAAGTTATATATAATCTTCTAACGCAATGAAATAAAGATGAATATCATACCAAAGATTTTAGCTTTAATTCAATTACCACGCACCGATATCATCATCACACTAACAGAAAGCTACATAAGCTATTCTGCAATCAACCTCACTGCATTATAAACTCTCCCAAAAACCACTTAGGTGTAATTTCCATGAAAGAAACTCAATGAATAACAAAATTATACCTCAAATTGAAATAATTGTTCGGGTCCTTCGCGGCTTGCTCCCTTGAAAACTTCCAATTCAGAATTCAAGCTCCGCGGGGAGTACGCGCGGCTCAGCTTCCTGAACCTGCGAAACCCGGCACGGCTAAGATCGGGGGGCCAGACCTGGTGGACTCGCTGAGGCGAGCCGTGGACGCCAAGATCAAGGTCATGTGGCAGAAGGTGAGGCAGAGAATAGGGTTCGGAGAACCGTGACGAAGAAATCAAAATGCGGCGGCGATGTTATAACTTTTGGCGAAAGCGAGGGGAAGGAGAAGGGCGCGGAGGCGGAGGCAGAAGCGGCGGCGGGAACGCGCAGAGGGCGTTTCGGAAGAGGGGTTTTCTGGGGCGGAGGAGAATCGTATTGGGGCTGTGTTTTTTNATTTTGTAAATAAATAAATGTATAATAATAATATTAGTATTTATATGGGGAGTTGCGAGAAAAGAAAAATATGTATTATGGAGTACAGAGAAAAATTAAATGCACTAAAACTGACAAGGAAGATAAATTATGAATTGGGGATTTAACAAGAACTAGTACGTAACCCGGGTGATGCACGGGATGTAAAATTTGGAAGAATAATATAACCTCACATGCATTAGGATCGAAATTGAAATCATTAAAATACATAGGAACATTGTTGAATCATAAAAAGTTCGGTAACAATCATATATTATTAAAAACCTCCTTGTACACAACATTATGGATTTGATTATTTGGTAATTCCTCATTATCACAAACTAATATTTTTCAAAGAGACAAATCCTAAAAATCAAACTAATATTTTTGGTGAACAAACTAATATTTTAGGATTTATAGGATTTGTCTCTTTTTGGTGAACAAACTAATATTTTAGGATTGGTTATATGAATAAGGCTACCTGTTTTTTGTGTTCTTTTCATTCATTTTCATTCAAACAATCCGATGACTTGTATAATGAAATCTGAATCTTAAGCCGAAATATTTAAAAAAAAAAAAGAGTTTTTAAAAATTGAAAAGTCAAGGCAATCAGTTCAGATTAATTAAATGTCAAAGAATATCCGCTCCTTGAAATAAAGACGTGTGCTATCATTAACCAAATATCCGGTTATTGATATAGAGTGGTTACCAAAAAATAGAACGCGATAAGGACGCTTGATGGAAATATCAATGGGATAAGGTCATAACAGATCGCTATACATTTTAACGGTAAAAGCTCAGATGGAATGATTTATGATAATTATGTCGTAATTAATGAATTAATTAGATGTGTGAAAAGGACATAATTAATGAGAAGTGTGAAAGGACATAATTAATGAGAAGTGTGAAAAGGACATAATTAATGAGAAGTGTGAAAATGACAAAAACTTACCAGTTTTGGAAAATATTTAATGAAAATCCGACATTGACCATAATTTGACCTATTATTTTTGGTAAATGTTAATTCTTATTATATAAGTATAGATTAACCGAAATTCTAAGACAAAAAACACATATAAAACCCAGAAATAACATGCACAAGGAAAACATAGCGAGCACTTTTACGTCGAAAAATACCTTAAAAAATTATTCTGGCATAAACATTGAGTTACAAAAAAAGGGTTTTCGTATGCCCATTCAATTCAAAAAATTGAGGTGCGTTTATTCTGTAGCTCAGTATAAAAATTTAAGTTTCAAACATGGCAACATGCTCATTCTTTCTTTTTGCGCAGGAGACGACAGCGTGCTTTAATTTAAATTTGATTTGGTGGTGAAAATGGATTTTCCTGGACAGTTGAGAAAATGAGTCATTAATTTGATATAGTAACATCAGATGGTAACCAAGCGAGTTAATGAGTTAGATAGGGGAAGCCCAAAAAATACCCATAAAAATGATTTAAACCAAACTGGTACTTGATATAGTAGATATTTTGCTCTCCAACTACAGAAATAAGTATCTTTGAAGAAGTTCATCAATCGAAAGACAACCTGATAATTTTGCTCTCCAACTACACAAACAAGTATCTTTGAAGAAGTTCATCAATCGAAAGACAAACCAAATCGAAAGTACACCATCTCTCTCTAACGCCTTCAGTCTTCAATCAATCACAGAAAAGATGAATTCTTCTGCAGTTTCAAACCACGTATCGGTAAGTTACATAGCGTCCAGCAGTCTCACTGGGCCGGATAATTTTCACAACTTGTCCGCGCTTCAGCCCATAGTATTTGGCAATCGGGTCAGTTATCTGAATACGAGGCAGCTGTGGTCCAATAGAAGCATTAGGAAACATGTTGTCAAGAGGAAGATAAGAAAACACAGTAAATGACTGAAAAGAAGAAGGAAATAGTTTTCCAATGTTGATGGCAAATTATAGCATCCAAATGGCCATCAGTACAGATGATCCTACAGTAATAAAAAAAACTAACCTGGGTTTCCTTCACAGTGTATCTTTCCAGCAAAGTCTTCTTTTCTTCAGGTGTAAGCAGCTGATGTTCTGGGACAAGAACATGATCTTTTATGTTGACCAACAACTCGGCCTCCTGCATTATTTGAATAGGTAAATGCCACTAGAGTTGACCAACAAGTCCAACACATCCAAATCCAATAGAACATATATTCCATTTTCATATATATGCAAGTACGAAACGTAGAACAGTATTAAGCACAAATCCTAAATAAATACAGAAAATATGTCAAACCCCTAAAATTTAGGCAGTTATAACCCACAAGGTCCACAGAATGTTTTCTCATTGAATTCTCATTGACAATCGACATTTCGATTGCAATAGCAATAAAAAGAAGATAAGAAAAAAAAAATATAACATTCTTCATGTGTTGCAAACTATCATTTGTCTGCATTGTTTTTATTTCCCAATGGAAGTCCACAAAAGATGTCTGCATCTTAATACCAAATGAAAAATATAAGCAACACTATATAGTTACCAGAAAAACTTCCAGATGGAATTTTGAGGATATTTCACTTATGCAGCCACGAGCGAAAGGAGTTAAATTCTGCTGGACAACTAAAATTGCCCGATGAACACCTTCCTCTTTCATCCTATTGGTGTAAGTCTTCATTGTCTTAACACCAACCTTCTGGTCATCAGGGAAGAACACATAGATCTGGATAGAGTAAATGAGGACAAGACAGGTGTAAAGGCATGTGTCCAACCATAAAAATCACCCATGCCTCAATTCGGGGAAGAAGCCAGTAATGTACGTAAAAACAGACTCTATGCAATCTTCAACACACATTAAGAGGACAACAGCCACATCAGAAATGAAAAAGGAAAAAATACACATGAATCAGATATAAAATATCTCTCCTAATGGCATGATCAGCACATAAAAGAAGCCGCCTTAGAACATAGAGCAGTTTGAAGAACTAAATGCCCATAAAGCCTACCAAATTCAAAGGTGTTGGCTCAAGATGATGCAGTGCCCTACATGCTACTACTTCTTCTCACTCACTTTCATCTCCATGCAATAAATTTAAAATAACAATATCAAGAAACATAAATAAAATTGGTGGAATAACTCATTAGAGACAGCTTCAATCTTTCTTGTTCTGTTGTCCACCACCTATTTATTTCTTTAACCATGTTCTTCATGTTTTCACCATCACTCTCAGAATATACATGCATCCAAAATACCTAAGACTCCCATGGGAAATATAATCCATTAGAATACTTATACCCATGTCATGATCAACAAATAAACACGCCGAGGAACTGAGAGAGAGAGAGACCTGCTCTGAGCTATTGTTGCGCATGCCTTTCATTATAAAAAGATCCTCCCTCTTGAAACTGTCCCCAAACTTCTCGAGGAACTGATTCCTCGTCATCTCGATTTCAAAGTCACCCACCATGTATCCTCTGTCCCTCAGCATCTGCATCACAGTCCTCCGAATTCGGTACAGCCTAGTGAGTTCCTCCTCAGACATAACCATCTTCACACTGGCAATTGAGTTATTGACGCAAATTACAAGAAAAATCAGGGCAGCAAAAAACGGGGGAAAAAAGTATCATGCTATTCACTATCACTATCTCCGGGCAAAGATAGTGAAATTTAAAGCTACATTCATCAAACCAATAATGTTATCATCCCTTCAACACGAACTTCTCTGCCAAGATTAAGCAAATTCAGAAAAAACAAAAAATGAGAAACCAGTTACGTTTTTAACCGGATGAGTGTGAAAAAAAAAAGGTTCAAGAGGCAACATAGGTAAAACGATCGCATGTTTATTATAGGGCTGGTATCGGTTGGGTAATCGAACCGATAGGTTTCGGTTTCAGTAATATTCAAACCGAAACCGAACCGATTAGAGGTCGGTAACCAATTTTTCGGTTACCGATAAGGCGGTTCGGTTTCGGTTTAAACCGATAAGAACCGAAAAAAACCGAAATAACTTTTCATTGGCGGAGGGAAAGAAAAAAACAAAACCAGCAGGCAGCAGACATCTTGGGCATACAAGGAAAAAAAAAAGCAGCGGACACACCATATTCAAATAACAGGCTTAAGGCTTAACAAATAACAAATAAGCGAATAACAGTATAAGCTTAACAGGATAACAAAATCCAAGTATCCAACTTCCAAATTCAATGACAAGTTTAACAGGCTTAACATGATAACAAATGACAAGTGTGAATGCCAATCAGTTAAATAATGATGGAAAACTACAACATATCAGTCCTTAGATGCATGTAATTCCACTGCCTTAGTTCATATGAGAAAAAGAAAACGGAGATAATATAATTATATAAGCATACAAGGATGCAATTCCCTGGGGCCTTATTGTTTCTAAATTCCAGAAATATTACACTGTCGAACAACCAAACCTACTACTAACAATCACATAATTCTTCCACATAAAATTTGCCCGTATGAATCAAAATTCAAGCATAACCATTAATAAATTGCCTCACATCACATCTTCTACACACAAAAAAGAATTAATTCAAGTAAACAAAACATTACAAGAATGAGAAAAATCAGTTTGAAGCATAAATAAAATACACACCAGTCCTATCGCAACTCCAACGAGTGAGAGAAGCGACTCCGACGAGTGACGGAAGAGGCGAAGGTGAAGGAAGGAGGCGAAAGTGAGATGAACGGTGAACTCGCGTCGAGGCAGAGGCTCAATCGATTCTGATTTATTCGCGTGAAGGTGAAGGAGAACGGGTCTGTCTTCTGATTTAATTCCCAACCCTAAATTCAATCGGTCAAGTAATTAATTAAGACATTTTATTAGCTTAATTAATTTATTATTTTTTAATTAATATAACTTTTATAATGCCTAATAAATTGATAATCAATCTATTTAGGGCTTTGAGGAATGAGGATACGGAGAGGGTGCCGAGGGTTTTGAGATTATATAGGGCTATTCCTAACCCAAATTAACCTGTTTTATTCTTATTTTCTTTTTTGTTATCCGGCCAGTTTGAGGATATGTTATATATGGG